CCAAGAAACCACCCTTTTACTGTGGCGCACAATAAGATCTTCTGATGTTTGGTGTCATCTTCCTGTGATCTCCTGTGAACAGGTGGATTAATTCACTTCAAGTTTATGTATGTAGCACCAAATCACAGCAGTCGCTGAACACTGTAAGGTAAAGACTCTAGAATAATAACAACATTTGAAGCTCCTATCCTTTTATCCCACATACCCAAAAGTTAGCTATATGATAAATAGCCCTGTGTTTGTTTACTTGATTTGTATAATGCAAAGTGGTGATAATGCCCAGGAAGTTGTTACTTCATTATGTAATTTTTTTTCTTTTAAAGTACGTCCTCATATGGCGATAGTTTTTTTTTTTTTTTTTTTTTTTTAGTAATAAAACAAGTCATTGTTTACAAAAAATTGTACATTTTATTGGGCAGAATGAGGTAAACAGTGAAGAAAAGTATGAGATAACGGACCATAGGATCTCCGGAGACTATGGCAACTAGAATTATTGTATACATGTGTATGTATCAAGTTCTGACACAGACAAAGAATTAATCATACAATGAAGCAATGTCATTTTTGTTTATTTATAAACAGGATAAAACCATTCAAGTATTGAGTCATGAATAAAACAGCAACCTCTGGTCTGCTAATTGGGAAACAGAGGATGTCAGTGTATTTTTCAGTGCTAGTTGTCCAAATTGAGTGAGATGACTTTACATTTGAATAGATTTGATTACAAGTTATATTCAGTTTTAATTGAATGCAGTTCAATTTGATTTACATTAAGCCAATTCACAACATATAAACTTGCAATATATGGTAAGATAAAGGTTGTGCAATAATACAGAGAAAGCCCCAACAATCAAATGATCCCCTATGACGAAGCACTTGGCAACAGTGGGAAGGAAGAACTCCATTTTCGGCAGAACTAGGCTCAGGAAGGGGAGGCCGTCTGCCTCGACTGGTTGGGGGTGGGGTACGAAAATGAAAAGGAAACTCACGTCATCGCCCTGTAAGTAAAAACAAATAGGAGCGAGAACCATCATCCCGGAAGCTGCCCTGGCTTACAGCCATGGAGACCCTCTCCCAACACGGCTGCACCCAGTGAACAACAGTGAGACACTACAGGCAGTGGTATACATCTACCCTGCTGTCAATCATA